TAGATAGGTAGGTAGGTAGGTAGGTAGGTAGGTAGGTAGGTAGGTAGATAGATAGATAGATAGATAGATAGAGATATAGAGAGAGAGAGAGAGAGATAGATAGATAGATAGATAGATTGTTAGATCGATAGATAGATAGATAGATTGTTAGATCGATAGATAGATAGATCGATCGATCGATAGATCGATCTATCGATTGATAGATAGACCAATATACACATATCAAGAAGTGTGCGGGAACTATATCTCCGAAGCTGTTCCACAAAGGGTTTTCAAGTCTGGGATTGGCACGGTGGCTGAGTTCTCGGCTAGCTTCACGAGCGAGAACGATCTAAAACAGTCCTGGCTAAATATTTTTCGATCGATTCGGAGGCGGGCCTCACCAACAGCCCTCTGGCGGCTAGTTTCGTGGTTGCCTGGCAGACAGCACAGGCGGGAACCAAAAACCAGGCCGAGCTAGAAGCGGCTAATGAGTTGAGGGAGGTGGGCGAGTCCCTTCCCCCAAACCGACTACATGGCTATGATTTGGAGAGTCGGAGGATAAACACGTGCCGGCTAAAGAATACATCGAAAGGAAGCTCCACGAGCTAGAAACCGAGCCGAGCCTCTGAATGAGGTGCTATCCCGTGACGAGATAGATCCGGAGACTCTCGTTCCACAGTGGGATAGCAAAGGCACTGTGGTCCTCAAGAAGGCTACCTCCAAAGAGGAGATGCCGGCTAATCCGGAGCAGTTGCGGCTACGGCTTGCGGTGATGCACAATGCTCTCCTTATGATAAGGCTACATCACCCTAGCCGGATAGAGCTCAAGGTTACGACCCAGCAGCTATTCGAGAAGCGCAAAGATTGTGTTCGCGGAGATTACTGCTACGGGCTAACATCCCACGAGGCTCGGGGCTCGCTTGCCCCTCCCTGGACACTGGTCCTGAGCTACGAGAACGCTATCAGGATGCTGCCACCAAGGAGAGATAGTTTACTACTCCGCTATCCCTTTGCGCTAAGAGGCCGCAGCCCTGGAGACCGGATATTCCCCATCGCCAGATAGCCAGGATAGCAAGCTTTCTTTCAAGGGGCGAGACGGCAAGGGCCAGAAGGGAGACGTTCGCAACAAACGGAACAGAAAACTGGCAAGGCTAAGCAGGCTGTTCGCGAACAGCCGAGGGCGAACCGCTTGCTACAGATTTGCCGCTAAGAACGGCTGCAAGAAAGGGGCTAAATGCCACTTCAAGCATGTCTGCACGAAGTGCCTGGGAGATCACTCGGCTACCAAGTGCACCCAGAAGGCGAGCCCCGAAGCAACAGGGACAGCAGATAGATCCGGATGGGCCGCGACAAGGAGCTCGGCTACGGGCTCTCCGTCTTTTTGCCGGCAAGGGTAGCAAAACTCAAGAGGCTAGCCGCAACCTTCATGAAGGAGATCCAGGTGACGTTGGTGGACAAGCTGAAGGGGCCAAAGCACGACTTGATAAAATCCAGGATATGCCAGAGATATCTGGGTTGATCCAGGAAGGCTATTTCGACATGATTTTCCTGTCGCCTTGCGCTACCTTCTCCCGCGCGGCGTGGGCGAACTTTTCTAGTCCACGAGCGCCCCCGCGGGCTACCAGTGCTCACGGCTAAGGAAAGAGACCGAGCGGTAGCTGGCAATCGTTTTGCTGGTCGGTTGCTCGGCTAGTGGCTCAGGGGAAAGCGAAGTTCATGGCTTTCGAACGCCCGCAAGACCTCGGGGCGATGCCAGCCGGGCCATACCGTGGATATCGACCGGTTAGTTACTATGTGGCAGTGGCCGGACCACCAAAACTAGTGGACCTTCGGTCCGTCGAGCTCCACGTGGATAACCTGGGGGCTAGCACGATGAAGCCGACGCGTATCAATGGCTGCTATCTGGGGCCGCTGCCACCAACGCAGCCTACGGCTAGGCCAGTTTCACAAGCCCTGGCTAGACCAGTGGCCGACGCTTGGCCATCGAAGCTCTGCGAGTGGCTAGCACAGCTCGCGCTGGCTGGTGGCGCTGCTGCTGCTGCGACAGTCTCTTCGGATAAGGGAGGGGTGGTGCAACCGAAACCCTCCCTGGGCTATGTGATCAACTCGAGGGCGAGAGAGTGCGAGAGGGAACGGGACCACCGAGCAAGTGCTACCAGCTTGATGGGGCGAAGGACATCCGTGATGGCGTCAGGCCATGCTCCCCAGGCCGCTGGCCGAGATCCAGGCGAGGATATGCAGACGATCCTTCCCGGGAAATGGCTAAGAGAAAAGCTTCGCGATAATATATTGGCTAACGTGGACTCTGAGGAAGAGCTAGAACAAGAAGCTTTCCGCATGGCGAAGGACGGCGAGAAGGGCTGGAACCTGGTGAGAGATGGCGCTCTGCAGGAGGACATCCTTGAGCTACCGAAGACGTGGATAGAAGGACAGGATAAGAGCGAAGCGGGGATGCTGGAGATACCTCCGCGCAAGCCGCTACGACTGCTGGCCCCGGATAGAGAGTTTCTTCGGCGAGCGGAGGACGGGCTATTTCTGGGGATACTGGAGGGGCTACCGAGGACGCCCGGATCTTTGAGGAGCTGACCTTGACGGCTCCAGCGTCCCGTGCGGCTACATGCGGGGCTACCTCCACTGCGCTTCTTCACTAACGCCAAACCAGAGTCGGATAGAGCCTGGATAGGGGGCTTCCTTGAGCTAGGCGATGAGAGGCGGGGACCCTGGTTTTCGCTCGAGTGGCCAGGACTTGGGCACTTTGGGCCTTCGCCACAGGCGACCCGGAGAAGGTGATAGCAGCGCTAGAGTTGCTAGCGACCCTGTTGGGATACGTCTCTGGGTCCCTGAGTTCGAGGATAGAAAGACCTCGCGAGTTGCCATCAGAGGCTACACGGATAATAGGTCCAACGAAGCGGGTGCTGAGGATCTCGAAGCTTTGAGCAATAGCGCTGACCAGCCCCTGACGGAGCGCCAAATGCGATACTGGGGCAGAGCCGGCCTTGACTTCCGACGCAAAACTCTTGCTGCGTGCCCCGTGTGCTCTTTTCGTGCCACTGCTAAGTATTATACCTTCCTGCAAGGCACTCCAAGCTGTATAGGCACCACCACCCAGGACAGACCCCCTGGGATCCTGCGTGAGGCGACCTTCGCCCCCTGATGGCAACAAGCTGCACTTGATGTGCTCTGTGTGCGGCTTTGGGGTTGGTGCCCGGGATGCCTTTCCTAAAAGTGCTGATGCCCTCACCGCTGATAAAGGTCTCCTGGCAACCCTTTTTTTCAGTTCGGCCGCAAGGTCACCCTGTTTAAGGCTGGGATCACGCGACGGGGCAGGGACTGCGTTAAGAGACTGTCTGCAGCCAAGGGCACTGACCTCGAGGGATATCAGCTGTTTTGTTGGCCGCGAGCCAACCCAAAGAAGATTTTCGATAAGCGGGGGGGTCTTCGATCTTCCTGATTCCGAGCTTTGATTGGGTTTGTTTGCCCAGCCCGCAACGGAACCGCGTCTGATACCGCAACCGCAGCTGCGGGCTCAGACGGTACCGGTTCCGTACCGGTCCCGGTACCGGAGCTTTCAGTTTTTAGACTGTGCCCGCTGCTTTCT